TGTATCTTACAGTCAATGAAACACAATAAATTCCTGGTACTGATGCCCGAGTTCCCTCACTTTTTGTTAACCTCCAACTTAAATGTTTCTTTCCTAAATACCTGTGTAAACCCCTTAGCAAGGCTTATCCCACCAGATTACGCAACTACTCATGTTATTTACGTAACTCCCCAGATTCAAGCTTGACTTAAGCGGACAAACCTTTACTTTTGTTTAGAATTATTTCTTTAGAAAAAGGTCAATATCTAATTCAAAGCAGTAGATTAAATCATGGATTAAGAAACTGATTAAAGCAAAATCATCACAGAAAAAGTCAAAGTACTTAAAACTACAAACTCAGATGAAAGGAGCCAGCTGTTATCAAGCTGTGCAGAGCTACATAAAACCAGGCTCAGCAGAAGCCCCTTCCCACCGTTTCTCTGTAACACACAAGCAAGACCCACGGCTTCCCTGCAAGACAGCAGACTGCAACCACGCTCAAAGACAGTCCACACGCAAGGGCACTGCAGCATTCGTTCGACACGCAGGTGTTTCAGTTACTTATTGTGTCTGGGATATTCTTCAAATATTTTGAGAACTGCTCGGAAAATAATGCTATTCTTGAACCCTTGTTACTCATCTTGTATCATTTCGATACGTACTTCCTTGAAAGGCATTTCATTTTCATTTGCTTTCAAAGACATTTTCATACAACGCTTGGTAATGCGATCTTTACTGAGCTTTAGGACGCCTCTGTCCCAAGGCTGGGCACCCAATGGTCACTGAAGCGGGACAGCACACGGGGCTCTGGCGTCATTCTGCATGACTTCCAACCCTGGCTCTGCCATACTTTGGCCGCAACACCAAGTTAATTGCTCTCTGTGCCTTGGTTTTGCATCTGAGATCGGGAAGAACAGTATTTCCCACGTTCCCAGGTGCTGTGAAGATTAAATTAACTGACACAGGCAGCACACTTGGAGCATCTCTGGCATGCAATAAGCCCCCAACAACTGTTAGCTATCGTGACCTTCTTGCTGGGTTCCCCATGAGGGGCTGGGGGTAAGGGGGGGGAACACCCCGGCTTCAAGCCTGAGGAGCTCACAGAGACAGACAAGCCAAGGATGGTAACACCGTGTGATCTGCAGAAGACATCATCTGCAGGAAGAGTGTTCCAGGAGAGGGAGCAGCAGCAGGATGAAGGGGACCACATAAGATGCATGAAAAATCTGCACAAACATTCAACAACTTTCAAAAAAGTGGTCACCATTTAGAACCATTTTGGATGTACAAGCCAGCAAACAAACAGCTTTTCTTCTCACTTTCTTCGGAAGCTGCCCTGGTTTTGCTATTTTGACTCTTGCTCACCTAGGCATGCAAGCTCACCTAGTCTACCTTGCAGAAGAGGTAAGTCACCACTGATTGCTGCTCATACACCTGGTCACCAGCAGGACAGTTAATAATTTCCGTGTGAGCTCAGCTCTACTCCCACTTGCAGGGAGATGGGAAATCTGACGACAAGTGGAATCATGACTCTTAGTATGATGGTTGACCTGATCCACAGCAAAACTCAATTCTTAAAAAAAAAAAAAATCAAGTTTTATACAGTCTGATATTTGCATCTGAAGTTATGACTCGGGCCCCCAAAACTATTCATTTTAAAAACAGAAAGAAAATCAGAACAAAAACCAAAGCCTTTTTCCATGTGACTCCATGACCTTCTAAGTCAGGCATGCCTCCCCTTCCCCTGCACCACCCTGTGTGCCCCAGGCACTGTCCCCAGTGAAGTCCCAGCCGCAACCTCTAAGGCACTTTCTTTCTTGTTTTTCTTTTGAGACAGAGTATTGCGCTCTGTCACCCTGGGTAGGGTGCAGTGGCGTCATCATAGTTCACTGCAACCTCTAACTCCTGGGCTTAAGCGATCCTCCTGCCTCAGCCTCCTGAGTAGCTGGGACTACAGGCAAGCTCCACAATGTCCCGCTAGTTTTTCTATTTTCAGTAGAGAGAGGGTCTTGCTCTTGCTCAGGCTGGTCTCAAACTCCTGAGCTGAAGCAATCCTCCCGCCTCAACCTCCCAGGGTGCTAGGATTACAAGGCGTAAGGCACTTTCTGATTACCCACTGCAGGGAAAACAGAAGATGGGCCACAGTGCAGGTTACGGTGGACTCTGCAGCAGCTGAAGTTAGACCACAACAAAATCTTCTACAAAACTCCTCCTAAGCCAAAAGTCTCCATTTATTTATTTTTTTTGTAACTTAATCATCTAATATAGCATAAACATCTTTTGTTAAATTTACTTTAATTATTGAATAATACATAGATACATTGTTTTTAAAAAGTTAAGACCACTGTAGGTAAAGCTAAAGTGCCCTCTGCCTGCCACCTCTAATCCTGGTGTTCTCCTCTATGCCTTGAGATAACTACTCTTTGAATTTCACCCGTATCCTTCCAGGTCTTATTTTAAATACCTTTGCACACATGTACATGTTCCCTAGTGAATGTACAGTACTGTTAATTTTTGTGTCCGTCTTCATATAAATTGTATCATACTGTAAGGACTGTTCTGACGCTCGGCATTGTATTTCTGAGATCTATCCACACTTACGAACATACATCTGGTTAGTCCTTTTAATCGCTGAACTGCATTCTGCCATATTATATTTTTCCATTCCATTCCTGAGGGCCCTTTAGGTCACTTTCCATTTCTTACTGTCAGAAAGGTTCATTTAGCTTCCTTATCCAGTCTTCTCGCACACATGTGAAATGCTTCCCTGGGTAGGGATCTAGACGAGGAAATGCTGGGCTGTGGGGTCGGCACATCTGCAAGTTTCACAGACTCTGCCAAGAACCTTCCAAAGTGACTGTCCTCATTTAAACAAATAAAATGTACTATACCTTGAGTTCTACAGTTCAAGTATGAGTATACAATAGTAACATCCTTGAATTACCCATCTCCTATTATCTCTTATCAACATTTCTCCATCAAGGCTGAGTTTGGGCACCACCAGCTTCTTGGTTCTTGTTGCTTAACATTCCTTAGATACTAACGATTGTGTTTCCCTTCATCATCGACTCTGTGGTAACAAGATAATGCAAACTAACAATATCACAACCATTTGACAAAAAGGTGAAGAGTTGGAAGTGTGTTAATCTCAGAGGGTTCCTATGGCCAAAGCATATGTGGATTAATATAAAAAGCTTTGCATACACACAATAATCACAAAATACATGGAGTAGTTACCACAGAGGAATGTTATAAAAAGGATGACAATCTGAAATACGAAACTTTCAGATGTATCCAAAATTTTACTTAGAATTTTACTTAAAAATTTTACTTAAAATAGAAGTTTAAGATTGCAAAAAGTTCCAATCAGTTTAATCCACAGGACAAAGTATTTCTGTCAAGATTATTTTAAGGGAAATAATGCTATTTTCCTAAGTGTAATGTTACACTTTAGTTAGATTTAAATTTTAATTCCTTCAGCTTATCAATAAAACATTTCAAAAAATAAAAAGAGTACAGAAACCAGAAATTAATAAGGGCATTAAGCCCTCCTACCTCCCTACCTCTAAACAAACATTTTCTTTACCTGCCATAGAAATCACACCTGAGTAAGGGTGAACTGTTATCCACTTGCCACATGCAAAATGAAACAAAAAGGTAATATATTTCAAATCAACATAAAAGAAACAATCAATAAACTATTTAGGTTATACAAAACCGACCTTGTTTCAATCTCAAACCATATACACCTTTACAAATTTCTCAGAGCACAGTTTTACTTGCTCCATAACCTGGGCACTGTTTGTCCCTGGGCCAAGGATCTCCAGATGTCCTCGAGAGTCATGCGTCAACCCAGACATTGCCAAGGGAAGGTCCAGGGCGAAGGAGGAGGGAGCAAAAGGTCATGGGAGGGGCCAAGGTGCAGGACAGTGGACCAGACATGTGACCAGAGGCTGTTAGCAACCTGAGGGAGGGGAAGTGTATTTGGTGCAAAGACAAATGATTTTTAAGAAGAGCTTAAAGATTTACAATGTTCAGTAAGATGTACCAACAACGAAAAAAGTCACTATGACGCTAAATCTGAAACGTTAAACTCGTGAGTCTCTAAGAATAAGATCTACAGTCAATTACGCATGAGGAAAGGAACATAGCTTTTTAACTTTAAGATGACACACAGCTTCACCGGGAGCTGGGGCAGGAGACACTCCCTGGGTCCCTGCCCATCACCCTAAAACTTTGCTTGGCCCATGTAAGGCTATGATTAAGGAAAAGAAACAACGACTTTAAAGCAACACCATAAGATTCAAGATTAAATTCCAGAGTAAGGACTTCAAAACATACCAGTGGAAAAGCAGAAAGACTTCATAGCAAAATTCAAGAATTTCAGAATCTTAGAAAGTAACCTGAAGAATCAAAGCGAGTAGTCCAACTCTCTTTCTGAAAATGAAGACACTGAGGCAAACAGCCTGCTCCAGACCACACAGGTGACTAAGACAGAGCTGCGAGTGCGAGGCGCCCTCTCATCCTCCGCAGCTATTGTGCTCCTTTTCCTCGGAACAGCCAGCCCGACTGTTTCCTGAGTCCCCAGCGTCTGCAGCTGTTTCCTCGGTTCCGCCCAATGCAAGAGGCACCGGAGAGCCCCAGGCCCGGGCTCGGAGGGCCCGAGGCCCGCGCGATCCCGCAACCAGCCCGCCGGTGACCTTGGTGCCTTACATAAGCCCTCGCCCACGGGACGGGTCGCCTGCGCCCCGGCCCCCACGAGCACCGCCGTCGCGGAGCCGCCGCCTGCCTCCCCTCCCGTCGTCCTCCCCTCCCGCCGGCCTCCGTTCCTGCCGTCCTCCCCTCCCGCCGGCCTCCCTTCCCGCCGACCTCCCTTTCCCGCCGGCCTCCCTTCCCGCCGGCCTCCCCTCCCGCCGGCCTCCCCTCCTGCCCGCCTGGCCACCCTCTTGCCGGCCTCCCGTCCTGTCCTCCCCTCCCCTCCTGCGGGCGGCCGGGCGGGGCCGGAGCGGCGCGGGCCTTACCTTCGGCCACGTCCTCGTCGATGGCCCCCTTGACCTGCGAGAAGCACCACTGGAAGTCGTTGCCGCCCGCGGGGCAGCCGCCGCCTCCGGCTCCTGCAAACACAACGGGGCGGTCAGGCCGGCCACAGCCGCCGGCCGTGGCCCCAGCCTGCTCCTGTCCCCCCCGGCCCGCGCGGGCCCCTCACCTGCCATGGCAGCCGGCGGCGGGACGCGCGGGACTGGCGCGCCGACCAGGGCTGACCAGGGAGGCGGCCACCGCACCGCAGCCGCCCAGCGCTCGGCCCCGGCCGCCACCGCCGCCGGGGAGGGATTTTTTTTCCCTTTTCAAAATGGCGCCCAATGCCCGTCGCCCCGCTGGATGACGTCATCCCTCTCCGCCTCCTCGGATGGGCCGCGGGCGGGGCGGCCGCAGGGGCTGCCGGGGGCGCGCCGAGTGCGTCTGCGCGAGCCGCCCCCAAAACCGAGGCTTGGGCTCCGCGCCGCTCCGGTCCGGGTAGGGGGCGCTTCAGGGAGCAGCCGACGGAGCCCGGGGCGGCGAGCACAGGCGGCTCCGTCGGCCCTCGGTGGGTCCCAGCGGCCAGGTGTGCGCCCGGCGCTCTCCTGAAGACCAGCGCCGCCTGCCGCCCACTCCTTTCCGGAGGCTCCGGCAGGGCATCCTCGGCCAGCCGGACCCTCGCCGGGCCGACCCCGCCCCCAGCCCGCGCCTCGGCCAATGGGAGCCCGGGCCCTCCCCGAGCAGCCAATGGAGGGCGCGCTCGGTGGCAGCGGGCGGGACATCCGGGCCGGCCGCGCCTGGAGTGCGCCGTACTTGAGCGCGTCCTCCCGCCGATCGCCCCACCCGACCGCCGGAGGCCGGGCAGGTCCTTGTCCACTTTTGCTAAGGGCCCCTGCTCAGAGCTCACCATTGCCCACCAAATGGCTATTTCAGGGGTTCCTGGGGCCTCCAGTACAGTCTTAGGGAAACGGGACCGATCGTTTATTTGCGGGTGTGCAGGGAGGGCCGCAGGCGCTCCCGGGTTACCGCAGGGCCGAGTCCCGGTAAGCCCTCGGTAAGTCAACAATACAGTAAGTCGAAAACGCGTTGAGAACCCCAGTAGGTCATCGTAAGGTTGAAAATCGCAAGTCCAGCCATCGTAAATCCGGCACCGTGTTCATCTGTGGGGTGATGTCCGGTATCGCAACTTCTCTCAGGGACAGTGTGAAGTTGGCGGCGACCACACTGCACCACTGGGACAGTCGCTCCGCAGATGTCGCTTATGGCCCGCTCCTGTCCTGGGCTGCGCACTGTCCACAGTCCTGGGGACGTGGCGGTGAGCACAGCAGACAGCCCTCTGCCCCGGTGGAGCTCACATTTCAGCGGGGGAGACAGTAAGAAATAAAGAAAAACGTTTTAAGTCAGATGGAGCTGGAGAGAAAGCAGAGAAGGAGGGACAGGAATGTGTACCGGGAGGGCCGGCGTTTTAAACCCGGTCGTTGGGGACGGTCTCACGGAGACGAGGGAGCAAGCCACGGGGAAGCCTGGCAAAGGCTTTGCAGGAAGTGGGAACAGCGGGTGCAGAGACAGGAAGCAGGACCTCCTGGCATGTGGAAGAAACATCCGGAAGTGGTGTGGGGGAGAAGAATGAGAGGAGAGGAGGCTAGGGATCAGAGTGAAGGCGGGAGGCCAGAGGGAGAGGACAGACGGTGGGCAGGCGGTTTCAAGGACTTGGGCTCCGGGTGAGGTAGGCTACGGTGCTGTGAGCAGAGGGTCAAGACTGACTTGGGCTTTGATAGGGTTGCTGTGGCCACTCTGCTGAGAACCCCAGGGGAGAGGCAGGGAGACCAACGAGGTGGCCAGCAGGGTTGTCTGGGCAAGGGGATGAGGGTGCACGTGTTGTGAGTGCAGCAGGATGTGGTGAGAACCACTGCAAAGCAGGGCCAGGAATTTTGGGTGGAATTAATGCAGTGTGAAAGAAGGGACTGCACTCCGGGTGCTCTCACCCGGCAGGAAGGCGTTTCCAGGCCCTGGGGTGGAAGGGCTGCGGAAGGAATGGGTGTGGGTGGGTGCAGACCGCCCAGAGGTCAGCCATAAGCTTGTGGAGCTGTTAGCACAGGCCGTTGCACGGGCGAGTCTGGAGCACACAGGGAAGTCAGGGTCAGAGTGTAAAACCCGGAGCACTTAGAGGCCATTTCAAACCAGGAGACTGGGTGAGAGCACCGCAGGAGGGAGGGTAGGTAGATAGGGACAGGACCAAGGACAGAGCCATGAAGGCGAGAAGAGGCAGAGGAGAGGCAGCCTGTCTGGGATCCTGGACAGCCAGGAGAAGGAGGGGGGCTGGGAGCTCGGTGGAGACGGCAGGGCGTGGCCGGCTCTCAGACACGTGGGAAGAGTGCTGAGGATGGGCCCCGTTGGTTGTAGCTACTGGGAGGCCATTACTGACTGGGACAGAACAGTGACTGTGAGTGAATGCACACAAGTTTGGAGAGGGTTTCGGGGAGAGTGGCAGGATAGTGTCAACAGAAAAGAACCCCAACTCTGTAAAATAAGTTAAAGAGGTTTGTTCTGAGCCAAGTATGAGTGACCATGGCTTGGAGCCATGCCCAAGAAGCGTTGAGCAAGTGGTCTCGCCATGGTTGGGTTACGATTTGGTTTTGTACATTTCAAGGAGACAGGAGTGACACGTAAAGTCATAAATCAATACATGGAAGGGGGTACATTGGTTTGGCCCGAAAAGGCGGGACATCTAGAAGTGAGGGATTACAGGTTATAGGTGGGTTTAAAGAGTCTTTGATTTGTAACTGGTTAAAGAAATGAAACTTTGGTGCTCACTTCAGCAGCACAGGTACTAAAATTGGAACGATACAGAGAAGATTAGCATGGCCCCTGCGCAAGGATGACACGCAAATTCTTGAAGCGTTCCATATTTTTTAAAGATATAATTGTTGTCATTTGAGTAGTTAAACATCTTGAGCAAAAAAGGAAAAAAAAAAAAAGAAATGAAACTTTGTCTAAAGGCTTGGAATGTTTTAAGATAAGGAAGTCTGCTAATCAGAGACAAGCCACCAAATACACGCCCAGACTCACATGGTCTGTTAAGTAAATGATGACCTGCAGGTGTGGTTCAAGCTTTGTCTTGCATGGCCTTAGGCCTGCTAATGAGTTACAAAGAATATCTAAAGAAGGGAAAGGGGCATGAGGAGGTGTGTCTGACCTCCCTTCTCATGGCCAACAACTCAGCTTTAGGGTATTTCTGGGGTCCCCTTGGCCAAGAGGGGGTCCATTCAGTTGGCTAGGGGAGCTTAAGATTTTATTTTAGTTCTCAATAGGAATTGGAAGAAGAGCAGAGAAATCGGTCTGTAATCTCCTTTTTAAAATGTAGATTTAGCCAGTCAGCCCAGGAATGCAATTGAGAAACTGAAGGAATTATCAGGTGCTCTTATATGTAATTGCTTTAGTGTGTTAAAGATACATCTTTGCAAGTGATGGCAAGATCATTGTTTCAGTTTAGAATGTATTTTTTGGTTAACTAGTTACCACTGAATTAAATTTTTTACCCACCACTGAAATAAATTTTTTTTTTTTTTACTACACATACTACAATGCAAAATTACAATTTAAAAATAACAAGATGTAGCCCACAAAGGCAACATGTTCCTGAAAATAGTGAGCTGCCTTCCTTGTGTCCCAGTGAGCATTGGCTGACCAGCTAGAGGTTTTTACTATTTCTCTTATGATGCTAACAACTTTGAATATCTCAGTGAGTTACTCCATTTGAATCCTAACTGGTGTTTTCGTGTCCCTGGGTATTGCAAGGCAATTTTCCTTTCTAAATGGCTTTTTTGATCTCACAGCTGTATTGTGAAACGCTGGTGTGCATTAGAATCTGGCTACTGTAGTCGTACAAGGGAGTACTGCTCAGTAGAGAAAAGGAACCGACTACTGCCACAGACAGCAGGGATGACTCTCAGGTTATGCGAAATGAAAGGAGCCAGACAGGAGCACAGCTGCCTGATTCCGTTGTTTTATGATGGCTACTCTGTGTGCCAGCTTGGCTAGGTATAGTGCCAGTTACTTAATCAAAACTAACCTACGTGTTGCTGTGAAGGTGTTCTGCAGATCTGTAGTCCCCAACCCCCGGGCCATGCTCCGATACAGGCCCCGTTATTGGTCTGTGACCTGTCAGGAACGGGGCCGCACAGCAGGAGGTGAGCGGCAGGTGCTAGCGAAGCTTCATCTGTATTTACAGCCGCTCCCCATCACTCGCATCAGTGCATAAGCTCCGCCTCCTGTCCAGATCAGCGGCGTTAGATTGTCATAGGGAGGCTGAGGCAGGAGGATGGCTTGAGCCCAGGAGTTTGAGGCTGCAGTGAGCTGTGATGATGCCACTGCCACTGCACTCCAGCCTGGGTGACAGTCAAAAAAAAAAAAAAAAAGTTTGAAAAAAATCACAGAGGGGCAGACCCTGCTAATTATTCTTCTCCTGAATACCTTTATTTTTTTTTAATTTCTTTAATTTATCTAGATTTCAACTTCTAAATATCATTTAAAATGTCAAATGTGTATTGTTTCAAGTTCAGATTTAGTAGCAAGCTCAGCGTTATCATAGATGTACCTTACTGGTAGGGTGTGCAATCTTCCCATGTGAAATATACCAAATTTAAAAACTTGGCCAAGTAAGACGGTCCTGTTCTGCCCTTCCTGTGCTGGTAACGGCGGGAAGCCCAGTGCCCGGCTTCCCCAGCCGGTTTGCTTTGACCCGGCCACCCAGGCAAGACCGCTGTGTGACAGGGTGCAGCTGCGGGCTAGTGTCCCTGGCTTTTTACTCCCCGCTGCCTCCTGCCGCTGCACTGCAGCAAGACAGCAAACCTCATCCCGTCTTTCTCTTTACTTCTGCCAATAGAGCTTAGATCCTGATACGTTTCTCAAAGCTGAAGGAAGGGAAGAAAGGAGGGAAGGAATGAAGGAACAGAAAAATGGAAGTTAGGAATGAGGGAAAGCTATGATTAGACCTGTTTGCTGAATTTAGAAGGAAAACCCCACAGTACACCTGCTCCTGTCTTCTGGGCCT